CAAAATCAATAAAAAAAAAAAACAGTTAAAAAAGTTTGCTGAAAAAAAAAAACCACGCCAGGCTTACGCTTTGGGCTTGCAGAAACAGGTCCAATTGATCTGGCCTGGCCACATATAAAAGGCAAAAAGAGAGAAATCCAATGGACGATGCATCGACCACTATAATTTCTGACGAAACTTGAATTTGTCAAACAGTTCGCAAGAAAAACAGTTTTTTAATTTTTAGACACCAAAACCTAATCTATGCATTGTTTTTTCTCTAAAACACTGAAATGAGGTTATATATATATATAAAATCTTAAAACTAATTCTAACGCACATAAAAAAAAAAAATTAAATTCAAAAACTCATATTGTTTTAATTTTCAAGTTATTTTATTTTAGTCTCTCAAAATTTAAAATAAATATTTTAATCCCTTAACTCATGCACTACACATGCTTTGTTTTTTTATTAATTATTTTTATTATTTAAAATTTACTATTTTAATTTGTTTTTTTTAAATTCTCATTCAATTTTTTTAAAATTTATTATTTATATTTACTTGATGAGTTTTAATTGATTTTTCTATATGTATGAATTTTGAAATAAATTTTTAGAACTTGATTATTTTTTCTTTTAAAAAATAAATTTAGATAACTTCTAAATGATTTTATATATTTTATTCAACCCGCAGCGTAGCATGAGCAAAAAAACTAATTATTTTCTATTTTAAAATCACCATAAACAAATTCTACTCTTTAAGAAAAACAAATTTAATGACACATTGCATGTCAAAATGACTAAAATAAGCCTAACCGGCGGCTTTTTCTCTTACCTCTCTCTGCTTCTCTCTCCTTTAGGATCAAAACAAAAGATTTGAAAACACTGTTAAAAATACAGAATTGAGATAGATATTTGGTGATGTGTAACGAGTAGGGCATGCTTGGATTCCACAATCCATCAGTGTTAAAATAAAGAATGGAGATAGGCTTTCCCTTTCCCGACCAGTGAATGATTTGAAATTAATCTACAGAACAGAAAACATTGTTTCAAAAATGTAGCAAAAAGGAAAAACACAAGTTACCTCAATAGTCATCCCTTACCTCCAAGATCAATTACACATTCATGGACCATTTTAGGGATTCTTCCTGTTTGATTGTAATTCAAACAAGCCGCCTTCCTCTTTCATCAACCATCTAGGAATTCTACAGAATACCATATCTGTGTTCTCAAATTGGCTATTCATTTTGTTGATGTCAGTTTATTTTTTGGAGCCAATTGTTTCTGGGGAAGCGCTCTCCACCCAATATCTCGCCGGTAGAACCCTCCTGGCCAGTTGACTTCCTCAACTGCTTGATAAGCTCGGTCCCGTGCCTCTTCAAGATCTCTTCCAGTGGCAGTGACCCCAAGAACTCGTCCCCCAGTAGCAATCAAGTTGCCATCCGAGTCCAAAGCTGTTCCAGCATGGAATATCTTAACTGTTGGAGCAACATTCTCAGCCTCCTCTAGGTTTCGAATCACAGTCCCCTTTTCGTAGGACCCAGGGTACCCCTTGCTTGCCATAACAACCACCATGGCAGACCCTGGAGACCATTTCAGGGATACTCCACTTAGCTCTCCTCTACTAGCTGCAAGTAGAACTTGTGCTAGATCTGATTCCAACCGAACCATCAAAACCTGCATATTCAAGCAAAAGAATCTCCCATTAATTTTATGCCACAACTATTGATTACCAACTTCCTGTAACTTTTGAGGAATAATCACGACAACCAAAATCTGAGGGTCAATTTATAATGTGTTCTCATGCACAAGCACATGCAAGTAAAAGATAATCAGCGCAACCTCCCCACTCATCATAGCCGATAGATAAACCAACTGGATATTGCTTTAGTTTATCCAAACAGTCATAATTTGGAGTGAAGAAACCATAAGAATTCTGAATTATATCATCCTGTTTATTAATAATTTGGAAAAAGTCTTCAACTTGACCCAACAATGAAACAAACCTGTTAGGGAAAAAACTTAAAACCACCTCTTCTAATGGGATGCCTAAACATCTAACAGTTTATACCATCAGTCACTGTTAAAAGAATAATAAGATAAAACTGACAGAGTAATATTCCCCATCAAGATGCGGTTATCAATACATGCAGCAGTGACAATCAGATATGTAACAGCAGCTTTGCACAGAATTGTGATTACCAGAACAGCAAGCTTCGACAGAATTTACATTATAGTCAGTATCATGCATCTCAAACCGGACATCAGAACAAAATGATAGAAGGTTTTCACCTGGGAGTGTCTAACTACCGACAAGCTGTATATGACCAAACTCTACACCTTGACCCTTGAGCCTAGAGGAGAACGAATATGTTGCCAAACCAACAGTTGAAACAACCATTTTTCCTAATCATTAATAACATAAAAGTGGTGTAGGGCAGGATCTCAATCAAGATATTGCTTCTCTGTGGGTATTGCACTTTAATCATGCAGCAAATGTTGCATGGGACCCCAACACTAATTCCAAAGGCACAAGAATAACAACAAAATGAGACAAGAATATGGGGAGAGAAACCAAAAGAAAGCTGTTACATACCCAGGAAAACAAGGACAAGCCTTCTGGGTGTTCCCTTTCACCATTTACTCCTATATATATATATATATATATATATATCCTAAGCCCACTGTAAACTACCAAAACAATGATAACCCAATATATACAGAGATCTAGTGAAATCATGCAGCCAACTCATCCAACAAACAGAAATCAGCATTGCTAAATATTTTTGAAGGCTTATTAGGGTCTGTATCTGACCTGACACTCAGGATCGCCAAAGCGTACATTGTACTCAATTAGCTTAGGTAAGCCAGAGTTCTTCTCAATCATCAACCCAGCATACAAAACCCCTACAAACTTGCAACCCTCTGCTGCCATTCCCTTCACTGTTGGGAGAATTATAGTTTCCATGACCACTGACTGAAGTTCTTTTGTCAATACTGGTGCTGGAGAGTATGCTCCCATCCCGCCAGTATTGGGGCCTGTATCTCCATCACCAACTCTCTTATGGTCCTGAGCAGATTCTAGAGGAATAGCATTCTCTCCATCCACCAGGGCAAAGAAAGATGCTTCTTCTCCTTCCAGAAATTCTTCAACAATGACACGACAACCTGCAGAACCAAAAACACTCCTCACAAGCATTGAATCAACAGCTTCGTATGCCTCCTCCAGTGTCATGGCAACAATAACTCCCTTTCCAGCAGCCAAGCCATCTGCTTTTATGACAATAGGTGCTCCCTGGTCCTGAATGTATTGCTTTGCAGCAGATGGATCTGTGAATGTTTGGTACTGCAACAATAAAAAAAAGTTTAATAACAGGGTTTACAGCAACAAAGAACTGGGAAAGCAAAGACAGTTACATGAAAATTTTAGTTAGGCAAAAATGAGAGGATGCCAGGCACACTGTCTTGTTTCATTTTTTTTTCTTTGCATTTTCCAAGAAAGAAATGGCAATTGGAAAAGTTTAGCACAAGCAAGAAGGTATTTTGTCTGCCTGGTAACTAAAACGAAAAGGGTAAAAAGAATAAACCTTAGCAGTAGGAATTTCATATTTGTCACACAAATTTTTCATGAAGTTCTTTGAACCTTCTAAAGCAGCAGCTTCTGCCGATGGCCCAAAAGTAGGTATTCCAGCTTTTACTAAATCATTTGCAAGGCCAGAAACCAAAGGTGCCTCTGGTCCCACCACAACCAGTCCCACACCCCATTTGCGGCAAAAGGAGATCACAGCTGAGCTATCAGAGATGTCAAGCTCTGGAATACAAGTGGCATTTCCAGAGTTAGAAATCCCTGCATTGCCAGGAGCACAAAAGACTGCATCACAGGAGGGAGATCGCTGCAAGGCATAGCAGAGTGCATGTTCTCTTCCCCCTCCACCAATAACCAACACAACCACCCTCTCATCTGCAAAATTAGTAGGTGAGGGAGGATCAATGAATAAGAAAAAAGTAACTAATTTAACCCAATTCTTTGCGTCTCCAATCTCAATAAAAAAAAATTGTCACAAAATATCCTATGGAGCGGTCTCCTTGAGAAAATAACAAGGCAGAGTATAAAAAAAGTCAATAAAATTTAAATGAATCCATGTACAAAAAAAGATGTGCTCTCAACTTTGAAAGAAATGAAAAATAACCATCATTCCAGCAGTAAACAACTCCACCTAGTTAATGACGAAATATTTCATTTTCTTTATAATATATTGCTAAACAAAAGAACACACTGATACATTTTCACACATAAGTGCCTCAACAATTGATAGACCACCATGGAAATTATTCACACACAAAAAAAAAATAGTACCATAATAGGAAAAGGAACTGGCCAGTTTATAAATGATATCGGTGACTGCTTTATAATCGAGTTAATCTCCTAGGTAGATTTGGCAAATTTGAAGATACCATACAAATCAGTGTATGGGAAGATCAGCAATAGCAACTTAAACTCCTCAATTCTCAGGTTTTAATTGCACAGGAATATCACCTCAGAGTCCATTGATTGGTACTTTCTGCACACATCATCCTCTCATCTTGTGAACAAAAGCCACTCAGGCATGCTCAGCTACCCAGACAAAAATAAAATAGAGAAAAAATAAAAAATAAAAGCTAATCGGGGTGCACAAAGAAACAAATAGTAAAAAAATAAAAGAAGTGGCAGTGGCAGCTGCACGTCCTGAAAGGAGAAAACTATGGAACTCCAAACTCATACCAATGGCAAAGGCATGTGCAACTTCAGAAAGTGACGGCTCATATACATCATTCTACAAGTTTACTAACAATCCAACGATAATTTAAGCATCAAAACAACAAAAACCAACAAAAGTTGCAACAATTAGTCATTTATTTACTTTCTTAAACTCTTACATTAAAAAAACCAACTATCGGACTATGAACTAAAACATAGAATACAAAACCAAAGAACATGTAAACAAATAGATGAACAGGAATAACAAAACTAAAATTACCAGTTCTTACCAGAAGCAGCATTGCTCCCAGCACCAACTGAAACTGACAGCTCTGATTTCTGAGCAACGCATTTGACCACGGTGGAAAACGATCTTAAGCCCTTAATTACATGGCATGAATCCCAAAAGCTTTTGTTACAATTGGAAGTCAAGGGTCCCACAAAGGTTACTGAAGAAAACGACTTGCCAAAGAAACAAGATTGCTTGTTTGAAGGTTGAAAGTTGTAGCTGTTGCTGTTATTGAGCAGTTTGAGAGAAGGTGCTAGATTTAAGGTAGCACAAGACATGCTTCTATTCCTATGCTATTGAGCAGGTTTTGTTTGAACTCAATTTCCTCATACCCCAAACTAATTTGGGATTGAGGGCTTGGTTATTGCTGTTGTTGTAAAACTGTAAAAAAAACAAATAAAAATAAATAAAGATGAAGATGTGTTAGGTGCTTAGCAAAGAAACAGATAAAATCAAGGGTTGGGATTCCCCCATTAGATTACCAACACAATGATCTGTTTACAATCTTTGTTACCACAAACCAAATAAATGTTTTCGTCCTTCATCTCCCAAAAAATATAGAACGTTTTTCTAGTTACACAACCGCAAATTCATATATTTCATTGGAAATGTACTGGCACATGAAAGTGATTGGTATAAACAAGTACGGTGACACCATTGCCTGTTATATCTATCTCAAGTTGGACAATTTGATAGCATTTACACCTAAAAGTTGTTAAAACAAGACACGGAAGAGAACAGATGTATACTGAAAAGCACCAGGTTCTGGTTTTCTCAGAAACAACACAATCAAGTGTTGGCTCTGAAGTAAATAACTAGAGCAAACCAATTCAAAACAACAACAGCACATAGACAAAAATGGCATACCAGACTAACCCAGAACTGAAACTTTGTCCCTCTAATTCAAAAAAAAAAAAAAAAAAGCAGCAGCAGTAACTTAAGGAACCGAAGAAAAACGTAAGCTACTGCTATGAAAAGAAGCAGGTGAGAAACCCCATTAACAAAACAGCAGATTTTATGAAATTTACCTTATGAAATCGATTGAAAGTCGACTTGTACAGGGAAGGAGAAGGAGAGGGTAGAGAGAAATAAGCGTACTGTGGGGTTGAATGCAAGAGAAAGAGAGACGGCGTATTTTAAGGAGAAGAACGGGTTGACAGAACAGAAGGAGCTAAGACAAAACCCACACGGCCACCCACTGGAAGTATTTGCTTCTGTGTTTAAGTAGGATGCCCTTTTACTGTTCTGTTTTGTCTCATAGTGTTTTCTAATTAAATTTTTTATCAATATTATCCCTCTGTTTTATTTTACATCTTAATTTAGTCCCTCGTTTAAATTTTTAAGCAACGGCGTGAAATCTCGGCGAATTTGCTAAAAAAATTAGTTCAATTTGTCTTTATTTTTTATTTTTAGTGTGAAAATACACTTAAGTGAAAAACTAGAATCTAACCCAATTTATTAAGAAAATAACCATAAAAAAAAACTCTAACTAATTATGATAAATTATTTTAGTTTTCAATTTTTTTTTAATAAATTAGATGGAATTTGAGTTTTTCAAGTGAGAATATTTCCATGAATCTGTATTGAAATTTCTGCTAGAATAATAGATTAGAAATAACATGAAATATAAAAACATTAGTCGCTAAGTGTGGGAGGTTTATTTATGTAGTTTTTATTATGATATGAACATTCTCTATGCATATTCAAGTTAAAATTTTAATTATTTTTTAATTTATGGAAACAATAATATAAATCATATCACTTTATATCATAATTTAATTATAAAAAGTCTTACTTTAATATTAATAAGAGCGTCGATGATACATAATTCCACACTTATACCATCATAAACTTTTAAAAAATAAAAGGATTTTTTGCTTGTTTTTGCTTTTATGTTTTTACAGAAAATATTCAATATGCATCTTAAACTTATAACATGAAATGTCAATCAATTTAATTAAAAATAATTAACAATGACCAAACTGTAAGAAATTATGATTTAAAGTTTTTTTCATATTTCTTTCTTCAAACTCAGTACCTATTTTTTAAAATTCCTTTATTGTTTATGCGTATATTGATCGATTGATTTCCAAGAATTAAAAATGAAATATAAATAATTAAACCACAAAAAAAAAAAAAAAAGTTACATACATTATCAGTTAATCAAATAAAAAAAAAAACTAGGGTTTAGGGTTTAGAATTTACGGTTTAAAGATTAGCAACTAGGAGCTGACAAAATAACTAGTAATATTTGCCTCGCTGCAGATTTTGGGCAGCGATTCAAAGCTAAATATACCATAACCCAAAAAAAAAAAAAAAAAAAAAAACCCAGAAAAGCCTTGAAACATTCTCACATCTCAAGAGCATGTGAACCTTTTCACTGAAACAAAATCTTCTCTACATATGCTGAGTGCGACTCATGAATCATGATTACAAATTGTTTGGAATTGTGTCATCCCTTTACAAGAAAAGAATTGTGAACCATCAAAACTATTCTGGATAAAAATCAATGTCCATTCGTGGACCTCTTTGAAGTTTATCTTGTAGATCTAATTGTTTGGGTAGCACAAGCTCAGTTCCCTCACCAAACGTCAAAAAATATCTCTCTAAAACCATCTGAAACCAGAAAGGGGCAATAAAAGAGAAAAAAGAAGAGTTAGCAGAAAGTTTGGAAACATTACACTATGCATACATCGAAATCTCCTCGGCATGAGATTGAAATAAAATGTGATAGCGCACCACAGCAGCATAGGCATCAACTTTCTTTTGCCGAGTAGACTTGCCGAGGCCCCTGAAAGAGTCGAGACATGGTCGTCACAGACCAGTAAATACAGGTCCTGCCTATTGAGACATTTATTTTGTCAACTACAGAAACATTCTTTGTTTTTGGCAAAATAGTATCCTACAAATTAATAGGAAACACAGTTTATAACTGCCTGTCCAATTTTCGCATTCAGTGTAATAATGCAAACCTTTAATTTAACAACCTGTATTTATGCAAGGTAAGACGCAGCATCAACAAAACATGCAGAATAAGGTATTGTGAAGCACCATCCCAGTCGCAACATCTATTGAGAATCATGTGTAGCATAGAAAAGAAAGATCCTAATTAACACAGCCGAAAAGTCTAACGTCCAGCAAAAAACACGACTCTTTCCTATTGATGATCGCAGTGATACCATCATAGCAAACCTAGTCAGTGCATTTAGATGCGGTCAACAAGTAACAAACCAATTCATTACACATGCAACTCGAAAGAAAATCCTAACTTGCAAGCAATTCAAAGATATAGACCGATTTCGCAAAGACGAGTGAATTCAACTGAGGATGGATAGCATGATGCTAAATAACCACAATAATATATCTAATAGAGTAGCACTAATATAAAATGCTTTAAGGGAACCATTACATGTTAATCATACGGTCAGTGGCTTCTGTTGATGTGCCATGTTCATCTTGTAGGTACACTCTCCAACCCCTGAATTTTTCTTAAAACTGTGAATAATAATGATAGCAATGACAGTAATAGTAATCCATATCTAAATGAACAGAAGCAGAATAAGCATAGAAACAAAAGGGCAGGAATAGTTTCACCTGTCAGCAGCAAGAACAGCAAACCTTCCAGCAACACTACGAACTTTGTTGGATTGTGGGGTTTCCTTACCATCCCAAGATCTTGGAAGCCCAATTATGAATTCATCCACCTCCTGTACACAAATCACCATTTCCTTGCACTATTATCAACTGGGCTACCCTTTTTTTTTTTTTTTTTAAAGACAAGAGAACACGAGAATTTCGAACCTCGTTTTCTGCAATTTCAAGAAGTCGAAGCTCAAGCTTTTGTCCTCGCAATTCCAAAACCTAAACATAATAATAAGTAAGATTATAAAAACTCTAAATCTTTAAAAAACAGTAAGAATATATGGCAGCATTACCGAGAGAGGACGAACAATGAAGCCTTTGCTAAGGGCAAGACCAGAGCGAGACAATCCCAAGTCTACCCCTAGACTGAACCCTCCTCTCCACAATGGGTCAGTCTTCCGGCGAAGGGCATTGGGGGGTATTTCTTCTATGGACAACACTGCCCTTAACCTTCTTGGACTTGGCTTGTTATTATCAAGTTGAAGACAAGAAGTACTGTAGTTGGGAATTACGAGATTGGTGGGTGCCCTTTTAGAGAAGATGAGCAACTGGTTTGAGTTTGAGACTGAGACGGTGAACAACGCATTTTTCCTCCACCTCCAAGTTTCTGTCTTTCTATCAGATTAAGTTTCAGGTTCAGGCCTTGAATTTGAGGAAGTCAAAGCAAACTAGTTCTGTTCTTTTTCATGCTGAACTAGCCCATTGCAGTACTACAAGGCCCAGGTTGAACTAGAGTCTAAACTCACCTGTTCTAAACTTTAACTCATCCAACAGTTCTTCTCGTCGGTTTCAATTTTGAACTTTACCTCTTTCTAACCATTTCTTTTGAAATCAAGTACTTCTATTTAGTATTCTCGGAACCGAACCGACAGGGAACCGCTAAAGGAAGCCAGGTCACAGGCTCACTGCCGGTTCAAAGCTCCTGTCGCAGCTAGAGCTATTCATTATTTGGTTTCAATAAAAAAAACTAAATTAAACCGAATCGAAATAACAACTTCGATTCAGTTTTAACCCAAAATTTAAAAAAAATGAACCAAATTTTTTTTTTGGTTTCGATTTGAATTAAACTGAAAGTTGATTATTAAAAAAAAAAAAAAAAATCCACTAACTCATTGCATAAACATTAAACAACAAAAAATCTTAACATCTTCAATAAACTTATTATGTTACATCCCATTAGATGTAGAAACTAATAGAAAGATTTAATTTTGAATAAAACATAATTCAAGAAAGTCAAATCTAAAATAGAAATTTGAAAAACTAATAAAAAATTGAAATAAAATTTGGAGAAGATAGTACCCATTTAGTCTAAAAATTATGAAATATAGGTAATTGCTTAGTAAATAAATTCGTTAGATTGTTACTTTGATATGTTTTTTTAAATTTAATTATGCAAGTATCATTATTTTCATTTAATATTATTGGAATTTTTTTGTTTATAGATAAACCACATGTCTCTCGGATATAATAGATCGTTGATTTTAATCAAATACATTCTCGACTTACCTCATAAATCGATATTTCGCATGGTTTGAATATTTAGTAGCTATAATTTGTTTCATAGAACGTCATAACATACACGTATCATTGTGTGTAAACACATAATCCATTTATAATTGAGTTTTATATACATGAGATAAATAACTTGTATATGCATAATTAACTTTTTATCTTCTTATGTCTTCTTATGGTATGTCTTGCTAGGTAAAAGGGATAAAAAAATGTTGAGGATATTGTATTGTAGCCATAAATATATTGTTGTTTAATTTCATACCCACAAAGAAATTAAACCCAAACTTCCTAAAAGTATTTTCAGATGCAATTACACTTCTAAAGGGAGTGATAACCTAACAACCATATATCATATATAATTGGAAAATTCCTATTATCCTTAAATTCCCCGATTGGTCTTCTTTTGTTAGCAAATTATGCATCCGTGCTTTTTCCTTCGTTAACCTATTTGTATGATAAAAAAATTGTCATAAAAGATTGCCAAAAGTAGGAATATAGCTAATTCAACGAAGTTACATGCATCTGCAATGACACAAAATCCGACATAAAATTGTTGCCTTGTTTGGAATGTGATTAACAAGTGCGAGCTTTGAAGAAAGATATAGCATAGGAAGCCGGAATCCATACATCATCCGTGATTGGACTTCGCATTTAAGGAAATATTAGGTTTTTTTTTTTTTTGATAAATGAAAATTTTTATTGATAAAAAAAAAAAAAAAAAGCAACGAGTAAGAGCTCAACCTATTACAAAACATACATAATATTATCACCTGTGAGAACATATTAGATAAACATCTATATATTCCTCATATATTACAAACTAAGTTAGACTTGAGATTATAATTTTAAATAATGGACATAGTTAAAAAAATAGTTATGATTGCGAGATCGTAGTTTATCGCGAGAGTAAAATAACAATTGTAGCAATCGATATTGTAAATACATTAGGAAAAAATATTTTTAATTTTCATTTCAACCAAATTCAAGCCTGTAAAGAGTTAATAATAGAGACAAAACAAAACTGAAAAAATAAGGACAAAATCACTTAAGTAGGTTGCAAAGTACAAGGTTGATATATATGTGTGTGTGTGTGTGTGTGTGTGTGAAACAAAGATATGATCTCTATTCCATAAAACATCAAATAACGAGTAATAGAGTGCTCTTATGTTGTTATATAACAATATGGTTGGAAAGCCATGGCGAGAAAAAAAGCAAGACATTATGTAAAAGCTTAGAGAATTTAACGATGAATTTAGATGCTCATCAATATGTCAAATCTAAATCCTATAAAATTGCTCACTAAACTAAGAGATCGAAATCCATTTGAATTGTATGTCTTCTTATGTTATGTGTTTTTAACTTGAAAGATTTATTTAAGATAAAAATTGGAGATCGGAGATCCATTTGAGTGGTATGTCTTCTTATGTTCATGTGTTTTTAACTTGAAAGATTTATTTAAGAAAAAAATTTTAATTGAGTTGGTCTCGGGTTTAGCAGAGATGGTTTGGATTTTTGTATTTTAAATTTACAAATTGGTATGGTCTTAATTGGAACTACCATAAATTAAAATTGGTATCTATGATTTTATTATATAATTTATTGGTTAAACATTGTGTTATTTACGAGTTAGAGGTATTTGAGAGGGGGTGTTTTCCATTGTTGCCACCAATAGCATTTTTATTTGTTTATTTAACTTCTTTTTACTCGTGTTGATTTCATAAACCTTTTTACTCAAAGTTATTTTAAATGAAAAATACAAAATTTTCATTCGCATGTACTATGATTCCACTACCATATATTAACTTAAAACTGTTGTTTTTATCGATAAAGAATTTCCATTCACCCATAAAATATATAGAAAATATGAACTTTAAATTTTTTTTGTCATTTTCAAGTGACTCAAGGGTAAAAATAAAATATTTTGGACTTTGGAAGGTTAATATATATTAACTACTAATTTAAAAAAAAAAAAAAAAACTAGCATGAAGCACGGGCAAACACCTATTTTTTTTTTCATAAATAAAACCATACAACTCATAATTAGTGGTTAGATAGTTAAGAATTAGTATTAATAATTAGTAGTTAGTAGTTAACGAGTTGAGAGAAAACAATCGTATTATTACAATGGATCGAAATATTACTAATTTTTCTTATGATAAAGAATTTTCGAATTTAAATATTTAAAATGATTTGAACTCATGATTTTTTATGAAAAGACTCGAGTAATCCAATTACAAAAAATAAAAATAAAAATAAAAATTTGGGGTTTTTAAATAGTAAAACACTATTCTTAGACTCGTTCAAATGCCTAAATTCATCATTCATCAACTCGTTCATTGGTGGCATTTTTTCTTTGTTTTTGCCTATGGTTTTTCTATTATTTTTGTATGTTCACCGGACAATAATATGCAAACTTAACATTCTTTAGTCCCTTATGTTTTCATAGAACATTTTTGATCCGTCATATTTTCAAAACATACTTGTGGTCCTTGGATGAAAAACAAAGAGAGAGAATGGAGGAGAGAGAAACGACCAATTAGGTTTCTTCACCAGATCTTGCATCTAGATTATTTTTATTGGTAATGAGAGTGCATTTATGTTCTTTTCAAGTTATACAATGATTAGATAAAGTAGATTGGAGTCCAAAACAAATTTTATTTTTCAATTTTTAATGTGCATTGAAATGGTTTTTGAGGTTCAAAATGATTTTATTGACCTTAGTTTAGTTATTTTGAGGTGTTCTGAAGCAAAAATGATGCTGAAAATCGAGTTTTCACGGAAACTTGCAAGTTTTGTTTTTTTTTTTTTTAGGCCGTCTCGAGCTTGCTTCTTTAGACCTAGGCACCTCGTCTTGAGTCGACCTACTCCTACGGTCCAAGCGCACGAGCTCGGTTCTTTAGGCCGGTGGACGAGTCTTTTTTAGCAATTTAGGTTTATTATTAATGAATGGGTTGTGAAAATTATAAAAAAAAAACACTTGTTATTTTTTTTACACATATTAATAATTATGAAACATATACGATGTTTTTTTTTAATTTTGGAATATATATATATATATATATACTATTTAAAACTTATCTCTTGAATTTGTATTATGAAAATTATCATCAAATTATTTTTTTTTAATTTTTTATTGATAAATATGATTTATTTTTTTCTATGTATGGAATTCTAAATTAGTTTTTTTTTAAATAAATCATCAATTAAATAATAGAATTCACATGTTTTATTTTATTATTCTTTGTATAATAAAATTTTACCGGAATAAATTTTATAGTTATTTTTATTGTACTTCATTAACTTCAATATATTCCTTATAAATTATTAAAAAAAAATACTTTGTGATTTATATTGTACATTCTAACCCGCGAGTATGGTCACGATTTATGAAAAAAATTGAGATCATTGGTTTTATTAAAAATTATATTTGCATATGCACAGATAATACCAATAATAAATTTTACTAAAAATTATTTGTGCATCTACACACATAACACTAATAATTTGTGTTTAATGTTTTTTTCAAATATGCTAAAATTAATTTCTTTAGAATAAATTAATTAAAGTAATATTTTAGAAGAACTCGTCTAATTCGGATGCATCTTTTTTATACTAATATTATTTATTATTTTATAAATAAATATATATATAAATCAAATGTATATATTTTTAAAAATATAAAAATATTCATTTGTTAATTTGTATACAAGTTTTTATATTGATTGTTTTTTTTTATTCGATGCAATCTTATAAAAACAAATATTAAGATGTTTTTGTTTTTAATTTACAATTTACTTTATTATAGGTTTTTATTTAAGAATTAATGAATAACGAAGAACAAATTGTATTTTTTAACAACAAATATGAAAGACATTAATATGAATAAATAAAATACAAAAACTTGATTAAAAATATAAAATTAGATATTTTTATTTTTTTAATTTAATATATTTTAATACATTTACGACATAACATATATTATCAAACTACAATAATTTTTTAAATTAATTTTATTAATTTTATCTAATCGGGAGCGTAATACGATAAGCATCTAGTAGCTCACTACATTTCAAATGGTAATGGTACAATTTACTAAGCAAATAGAAGTTGGCTCGAAAAAATATTTGCAAAGAAAAAGTTGGGCTTCGAGTTATGAGTTGGTGTACTCGAACAATTTCTTATTTAGGCCCAATACTTAGGTGTGAGCACGTTGCTCTCATTTAAAAATTATAAAAATTCATCATATACATTATATTAATATATTTTAAAAAATAAAAAAATAATCACATTCTAAAATTTTATTCAAAA